TCCGCGGCCCCGCGTCGCCGCCGCCGGCCGGGTCGGGAGGAAGTGGGGCTGGAGCCGGCGACGCGGGGACCTGCTCCCGGGCTGCCGGCCCACGCGGGCTGCACTCTTTCCAAGGGTTTCAACCCTGGCTTTTTCTAATTCGTTATGAAACGTCAGCTTCAGTGTCTTCTACCCCCCACCCCCCCCAAGGGTCGTTTTATTATGCAAACGTGGGGATTTCCTCACCTGTCTCCCGAGTGACATCCATCACTCCGGAAGGGACGCTGTGGTCCTCGCCCCCCACCGGTTTGCAATCGATTCCTTAGCCAGTTGAGCTTTTATTGGGGCCACACACACCAAAAAGGCAGCAAGTAAATGTGATGACTGAGAGTTCCTCCTAGGGATCCTGTGCAGAGCAAATGTAGGAATTGCCCCTTCGCGAGCGACAGCTGTGAATTTTTTACCTAGAACAATGGGGGTTTTGCAGGGTGGGTTTTGGAGAAAGCCAGGTGATAAATTGGGGGCGATATCTGTGGTTGAGGTCCCTAAATTTAGCAGCTGGCACTAAACTTTAAATAGCCCCCTTTGCTTTAAATATCCTTTCCTAGAAAGAATTCAGTCCATAGCTGATCATGTTCCCGATTCAGTTTTGACACAGGCAAGTGAAGTGTTCATTTTTTTCCCCTTTGTCGGTTGATGAATGTCTGGTAATATTGACAAAAGGGAAGGCTAGTCTTAGGGGCGAAAACAGACGGACTGGTTTAACTCCTTTCTCTGGCGAAAACAGGTACTATGTTTGCTAATTTGACATTGTAGAAAATGATATGAGAAAATGGCCAAATAATCTTTGGCTTTTGTAATAAAGGAGCTTTACTATTAAAGCTATTTCCTGTTTGATTAGTTGCCATTTACCAGTTACAAGAATTACTTTTTTTAAAAAGGTGTGTTCAGACCTATTTAGCACTTAAAAAAAAAAGTAGGAAACCATTCATAAAGCTGAAATAAATTACCCTGGATGGGGGAAAACCCAAATGTATTTTATTTGGTATTCTGAGTTTTGGATCGGAAGTATATCTTTATTCAGCATTTTTTAGAAAAGATTTACTTATTAACCATTTGCCATAATTTTAAATGGATCCTAGGAATAAACTGCTAAATGTCATAAATTTGGAGGTGTATTTCAGTGTTTTCTGCATTGGTGAAGCAATAGGGCTGTCTCTGCAGAAGGTAGGAATTTGAAAACTTGATACTGTGGAGGTCACATGTATTTAAAAGTGCTTTATAGTGGAATGGATAGTCTGGTGACGTTTGAGAAATCAGAGTGTGGAGATTGGGCTGACGTTTGTTGTCTAATTAAATTTCTCATTAAAATGCTATTCTGCAAAGACATATCTTTAAAGTTATGCCCAGCTAACTTTCCGTACATTATTTTTCAAAAGCTAGAAACCATCTCCCCTGCACAGCCCCCAATTATGTAATTTTAGGCATATTCATAAAATTCCCGATTTCATGAGATTAGACATTATAGTACATTAGACCAATCTGTCAACTGATAAAATTCAGGTGGCGTGAGCTATTTTAAATCTCTCTAAACAGTGCCAGTTCTGTACTACTAATTTATAATGATAAATATGTATACTTGTTTTAACTTTTTATTTCTTTTAAAAAGCTATAATACTGTATATTGGCAGGAGGTTGCTTTTAAGAATATTTTATATCATGTTGAGTTTATAATTTAGGCTGCTAATAATTTGAAAAGAATTATGCGATTTAAATTTAGCTGAATATAGTATATCACATTTCTTAGTCATTGATGGCTGCCAAACAGTAACATTCTGTTTGGGAAAAGATTTTTTAATTACAGTCTTTCAGGCATGTTTTCCAGCAACCTTTAATGATTTTGTTTATATGATGTGCTGTTTTCAAAAAAAGTTGGTCAATGTCAAGAGAGCTTTAAAATAATTTGAAACAGTTTTTGTTTTCAAGAAGGAATTTTTTCAGCTTGGCTTTTTATGTAAACCTTACCCTGGTATAATTCAATGCTGTATTCGTGAGATTCTGTATATCTTATAAGAACTATGGGATGCAGTGGCTAAAACTCTAACCATAATGTCAGCTGTTCAAACCCACTATGAAAGAGACAGTCTGCTCCTTTAATGATCACAGTATTGGAAACCCTGTGGGAAGTTCTACTTAGTACTATAGGATCACTTTGAGGAAGAATCAAATTGGTGACAGGTTTGAAATTTTGTATTGATCTTGCTGTAAAGTTGGAACCCTCTGATAGCTGACTCTCCAGTGGGGTTTTCAAAGGAAGTATATTGCAGGGAAGAACATTGCCCACCCTTCTCCATAGAGCACATGGTGGATTTGAACTATGTGCCTTTGGAATTACAATGCAGCTTCTTACCCCTAGGTCACCAGAGCTACAGATTTGATCTTATGTCAGTCAAATATCATTTACATACTTGTTTCCCAGTGAAACAAAATTTGTGGCTGGTTAATCTCTTCTAAAAAACAATGACCAAATAATTTTTCATTGTTGATATATTTTCAAATAGAATTGTTTATCCTGCAGCTGAAATTTCAGATTACTGTAGGAACTCAGATAGCAACACTTTCAAAGAGAATCCTGAGTTTTACAATAAAATTGAGATGATCTAGTTTTATTTAGATATATTTGTTGATTTAAATGAATGTGAATACGGCATCCATTCTTTTGTCCAGTAAATGTAATAAAATATGAATAATTGATAAAAGAAGTTAAACCAGAGGACTTCATTTCATAAACTATTGTCAAAGAAATTAAACAGGTCAAAATAACATTTTTTTGCCTTAATGAACTAGTAACCCTGTCCCGTTATAAATACCACAGTTGTCATCTACTCAGTGTTGTAAAGGGTATAGGAAAAGGAGAAAAACTTTATTTTAAGCATGCTTTTATACATTGAATGGGCTTTTAAAGTTGTGTTCATTTCAGATTCTAATAGAGGGAAAACATATATGCACGCTAAATCTTGGCATTAATTTGTTCTCCCTGTCACTATGAGTGAGATGGAGTGTGTCCTTTATGTCAGCACACCAAAAGGGTACTACTCGGTGGGAAGCAGAAGGATTAATTTTCTTTCTTGAGTCAATTGCATTTCCTCTTTGCAAAATGTAGGCAACCAAGCTCATTTTACTTGAAAGAATGGAAACGTGTGGGAAGACAGAAAACAATTTGCCTTTTAAAATTCAAAACTTTCAACATAGGTACTGGACATTTGTAGATTTAAAAATCAGTTTGGAGTAAAAGATTTCATATTAAAAAAATGAAGCAAAAGTAATTTTCTTAAGTTGTTGTGTGCCGTCAAGTTGGAACAGACCAACAGCTGACTCCTTCAGTGGGTTTTCAGAGGCAGTAAAATCTCATGGGAGGAGGTTGTCTACTCTTCTCCCACGGAGCAGCTGGTGGAGTCAAATCACATGCTTTTGGGATTGCAGCACAGCTTCTTACTACTAGACCACCAGAGCTTCCTAATTTTCTTCTGTAGAATTCCTTACTTGATGAACGTTGTATTCAGAAGGGAGCTCTGGTGGTCCAATGGTAAGGTGCTCAACCAGTTAGTTGCTCTGTGGAAGAAAGGTGAACAGTCTCAGCCCATGGGATTTACTGACTCTGAAAACTCACTGGAGGGTCACTTATGGATTGGTTTTGACTTGATGGTACATAACAACAACTGACTGTATTTAAAAGAATACATGATTTTAGGAAGCTCTGATGGCCTTGTGGCAAAAAGCTGCACTGCAGTCCCAGAGGCATGCGGTTGGAATTGACCAGATGCTCTGCTGGAGAAGGGGAGGGGCAATCTCCTGTACCAGTTGGATCAGATTTGACAGTGCACACACAAAACATAATTAAAAAAAAAAGTTACATGATTTTGTGTGTAATTGTATAGTACACTTTATTGGGGCACTTTTACGTAGAAAGTTCAGAGATTAGAAGGCAGTGTGAATAAAAGCTTCATTTTTGCATTTTCAACTGCTAAGGCCTGGGCAAAGCATTTTATATACATCATCTGTTTAATCCTTACCAGAACTCTATGACACCAGTTCTATTTCAGTTTTACAAGTGAAGAAACAGACATAGAATGATCAAGCAAATTTTTAAGGGTTATGTGGCCAATTAAATGTTGAAACTGATGTTAGGGGATTGGTGCTGGTTTCTTATTCAAGAGCCCATGCTTATTAATGTTATACTTTATAAAATGACTGTATTAAAAGAAATATGGGCATGGATTTAATTTGTAGTAGCTAACTGGGTAATTGTTTTAATATACTTTTTTGGAGTGCATTTCTGAATTGCCCTATTCTTTCAAGGCTTAAAAATATTAATGCTCTGGTGGCTTAGTGGTAAGAAGCTGTGCTGCAGTTCTGAAGGCACACTGTGGTAGTTTCTTTCTGGGTAATTAACTGTCTCTGAAAACCCACTGCAGGGTATATTTTGGAAGCAAGGATATTGAAATTTCATCTCACATACTTTGTGCATGTTTTTAGGATGAGCCAGTCCTTTGAGAAGACATCATCCTTGGAAAGGTGGGAAGGTCAGTGAAAGAGAGGTAGACCTTTGACAAGATGGATTGACATGGTGACTACCGCACTGGGTTCTTTTGTGTCCCGAAGTGTGAGGATGGCGCAGGATAAAACAGGGTTCAGTTCTTTTATTCATAGGGTTGTTATAAGTGATCTTGACTCAGTGGCACCTAACAACAACAAAGTTCCCCAAAATTAGCCATTAAAATTTATGGAGCATAGTTCTGTTTTGATTCATGTGGGGTTGCTCTGCATTGGAGTTGAATAGAAAACAACTTGTTATCTATATATACCTATATGAAAGAGTGTGTGTGTTTGTTTGTGTACTTGTATGTGACA